CTCCCCCCCCCCCCAACCACTTCCCAGCCTGCCCAGTATCCTCCCCCCCCCCCAACCACTCCCCAACCTGCCTGAGTATCCTCCCCCATCCCCAACCCACCCCAGTATCCTCCCCACTCCATCCTCTCCACGTAACAAGTAGTAGCAGCCGGAGACTGTTAAGGCAGCTAGACAATTTGGATTAACTTGCCCAGGGATGTCGTGGAAATGGGGCTGACTACAGGAGACATAGGCCTAGGACACACCTGTGCTGCTGCACAAAGGATAGTCTCCAGCACAAGAGGTTTTCTCCAGCCCCGTCCTCTATGATCATCCCAAGAGCTTCACGCAGTGGCCACAATGTTCCAGAGGACTGAGTTTCTGAACAGATTTCTTGAGTGCGCTGTTCAAAATCAGGGCCATGTGTTCTTGGGTGCACATTGGCTGCTGGATTATTTTGGAAATCTGGCCCCACCTGTCAGGGCCAGACACTCAAAAATCCAACCTGCCGCGGAGTCCTCTGGAAAGTCCTGGCTGTAGTGTGGATGGGGTAAGATGGAGCTGGAAAGGAAGATTTGGCCCTATCTGTGTTACGATCACAGTGCGAATTTAGTGACATCCCCCACAGAAAATCATATGAGTCTTTCCTTGGAGTGCCCTTGCATGGAGGGGGGACACAGCTTTCTCAGGCATTACCTTCAGCTCTAACGAAGAGGCTTGAATCTCCAGCTTGGTTTTTTCCATCTCACTTGCTTGTCGAAGGTGCCTCAAGGCCTGTTCCCTGTGGACACAAATCCCTCCTTTAGTGAAACTGCTGTTCTCTGGAAGAGCCTCCATCCCATCCACGCCACCCACTGTTGCACCATCTTTTATGCTGCAAAGTCTGTAACCATGGGCCTGGGGGGTCTGTCCTGTCTCGAGAGGCTCCAGTCGCCTGTAACTCACGCTGCTCTTGTCACAGCTCCACACAGTCCCCTATGACTTCATAGCTCAAGAGCATTGAGTGGAGCCCCAAGCAGGGAGCTTGAGATCCTATAAGGGGGGGGCTCCTCCCACTGGTAACCAACCTGTTCCCTGTTAAACAGAGGTCTCCAGAAGAGGGAAGTGCTGGCAGTTCAGCTCTCCCAGGAGCAGAGAAAGCTGAAGTGTCCTGGAGCCAGTAGAGAGAGACAGGGGCTTTTAGCAGATCCCTAGGGAGCCTCCCCCCACTAAGGGTGGAGAGAGAAGCCTGATGGAAAAGTCAGGACGACACTTTGTGAGGGGCATCTTGCAGGGAAAGCCCATCCCTGCCCCTCTCCCATGGCTTTCCCCACTGCACGGCATGACCCAGGCCAGTGCAAGGATCTAGTGCCATGGCTGGTACTATCCTCTCCCAAAGGGGCAGGGCCTAGTTTGCCCCTCTCCCTAGGGTGACCAGATAGCAAGTGTGAAAAATCGGGACAGGGGTGGGGGGTAATAGGTGCCTATGTAAGAAAAAGCTCCAAAAATTGGGACTGTCCCTATAAAATCGGGACATCTGGTCACCCTACCTCCTCCTCTCCCTGGCCCATCCCACTCCCAACATGGGGCCACCATCCAGCCCTCAGCCTGGCTCTTCTCTCTGAAAGGGGCCCTATCAATCTAGTTCCAAGGGCTCCCACCAGTTCCCATCTCTTCTGCTCTGGAAGACCTGGGGCCCAGCTCCACCTTAGCGCAGCAGTTAAGCTCTGCAGGTACACTGGCTCTCAGTTGCTCTCCTAGCACAGGGCTTCCATGTGGGGAGCCTACCAGAACCCGCCTGTGGCAGCCTTCATGCCACGGTGGAAGGGCTTGCTTTATAACCCGGTTTTTAACAAATCACCCTCCTGGCACAGGATGGGCGCCTGGGCCCCGATAGATGACTCAGCTGCAGCTACCTATGTTATCACTGTACTAGAGATGGCTCGGGAGCCGGCTGTGCTGACCCCAGCTGGTGACCGTCTTAGGGATATGGCCCAGCTCCAGCTTTCAGCTTGTGGGTCTAAAGAGGCCTCCTGAGCCAGGAGTGCCTCTCACACGCCTGGTGCTTGGCGTTCCCAGGGCTGACTGTGGGGCAGGCAATGCTGGCTGCCACACATTGCAGCATCTAGGTAGTTTCTGACACGTGCCCAAGAGAAACGTTTCCCTTTAATAACTAGCGCAATCCCTCTCTCTGGTGGCCGGAGCGGGGTTCGACGCAGCAGACACAACAGTTTGCTAGAGATGGGTCTGAACCAAAACTCTTGACGCAAATTGCCCCCCTCTTCTGGAATGCTGGACCCGGATCTCTCTGTACGTCACCGTCCCTGGCATTGGGCCCCCTCTGCTGCCGCTGCTATAAATGAGGTGACTGCAGCAGCCAGGCAGAGGCACAGAAATGCCCACTTGAGAAGTAATAAACCATTTCTTTCCCACGTGCATCTCCACTTTCCACATGAGGGCGACGTGTCCCCTGGGGATGTCCCAAAGGCTAGTGGAGCAGAGCTTTGGTCTACCTGGAGCCACATTAGAGGGGACAGGTCTACTGGATTTGCACTCACCACCTCATCACGTTGCAGGTCTCGGTGGGAGCCTGCCATGTTCCATTCACAGACAGGGCCAGGCTCATTCCCGGTGCAACTCCACTGGAGTCACACCAGGGATGATTGTGGCCCATACCTTTTAAAGTTACACGGCAGGAGAGTTGTGCCATGCAGTGGAGACAGCGCAGCCTCCCCTGGGGTTTCCTTAGCGGGGGTGGCATATGGAGCACCCACCGCTCAGTACTGCCCTAGGACTGAATCCCTGCTAGCTCCGTACCTCTCCGCCAGCTGGTGCTCCAGAGAGGCGACGAGTTGTTCCAGTCTCAGCTTCTCTGAGCTGCATTCAGTGTACTGGCAATAGACAGAGGATACAGGTTAGCATTACTCAGTGAAGTCACCTACTTCATCATCAGCCGCACCTGCTGTCTGCTAGCTACTTACGCAAGGGCTATTTGAGTTACCCCAGATGAGGAGCTAGCCCAGACAAGCCCTGTGGTATCGCCGTTGGTGTTCCTTATTCACAGACAGTAGAATGGCTGGTTCTGGGCTGTATTCTTATCCCATGGAGTCACCGCCTTGACACCAGAGTAGGGCTCTTTGCTGGTAAATCTAATTTGCTAACGTCCAAGAGAAGGGGGTAGGCAGCTCAGACTGGTTGAGGTAGATCTCCACAAACAGCCAGGGACTAATCCAGCCACCTGCCAGGCATGTGCAGTGAACTCTGGGGAACCACTAAGGAAGCTGATCCAACCAACGGACACGTACTGGCACAGAAACACACACCACTTTGAGATGAGTCCATCTGAGGGGAGAGGCAGCCTGGTTCCATGGACAGGGAATTGGCCTGGGACTCGGGAGACCAGGCTGGTCAACGGAGTGACCATGTGCAAGTCACTTCCCTTCCCATCCCATCCATTGTCTGGCTTGTCTATTTTGACTGGATGCTCTTTAGATCAGGGGAAGTCTCTCACTCTGGCTGTGTCTACACTGCAATTGCGAGGTGTAATTGCAGCCCGTGTACAATCCTGATCAGTTAAGGACTAAGGCAGCCTGTGCCATCACTGCCAAGGCTACACTGCTATTTTTAGTGAGTGGCTCCATCCAAGCTAGCTCAGGTATGCTGCAATCACACCTCCTGATTGCGGTGTAGACATATCCTCTGTGTTTGTACAGTGCCTAGCACAACAGGGCCTTGATCTCAGCTGGGGCCCATAAGTGCTCCTGGAATACAAATAATAGTATAATAACCTAGCATGTCTCTGCAGGATGTTCAGACAAGTTTGGTACCTGGTTCCTGGCTGATTCTAACTCCAGGTGTCGTTCTTCCAGTGCCGTATCACGTGTTTTCAGCATGTCCCAAACCTTCTGCAGCTCTTCTCGGACCAGCACTAACTCTGTGTCTACTTCCTCCAGGGAGGCCTGAAGCATGAGAGAGAAAAATTGGCATTGGACTGCTCTGCCAATAAGCTGTGCAGGAGGAGCAGAGAGTCAGGCACCATTGGGAGTATTCCATTTCCAAGCACATTTATGAAAGAGCTTCCAGATACAACAGTGATGGGTACTTTAGAAATGGATGTAAAATAAAACCAGACGCATTCTCTGATCTCAACAGGCTGATCTAGCCAAGGTCACGCAGCAAGTATTGCCGCACACCAGATCCTACACCAGCCCTGGCTGTGGGACGCAATCAACTTCAGGTGTTAGCTACAGATGACCACAAAAGCCAGCGTGAGCCTATGGAGTATTGTCAATGGGTAACCTCAGTTCTCAACAATACTCATTATATGCCAACACCCAGGAGAAGTGATGCCAGTGGAAGGTGAGGGTGGGTATCTCACCCACAAACTGTCCATGGGTCCTGACACAATGCCAGGCATGGACCAGCCATGGAATTCATGTCCAAGCAAAACCTTTGACCCTCTTAGAACTCTCCCAAAAGTTCCCAGGGCTGAGTCTGAGACCCACCCAAATGTACTGCATAGCTACAAGGCCTTGATCGTACAATGAGATTTCCTGGGCCTGCATGCTGCCTCTTGGAAGGTCAGAGTCCAAAATGCTCAACCCAATGGTGGCCTAAACGCTGGACTCTTGTGGGAAGGAAGCTGTGTGCCACATGGAATAACACTCAGACCCTTGAAATGCAGCGTATTCCTGACAGAGAGAAGTGGACGCAGCTTGTTCCAGGATCAAGCCCCCTATCAAGGCCTTCTGCATGTTTCCTGGCTTGTTTGGGAAACAGAGGGAGGCTCTACACTGGGTGTGATTATTATGGCCAGTGTCACCATGTTCTTGGGTTAGCAGCGACTATATTCATCTCAAAATATTTTCCATTTATTTCAACACCTGCCATTCCGCAGGACCCTGTCATTCTTCCCCATTGGCGAGGAAGGGTCACCCAGTGGTTAGGACTTGAAAGAGCTGGGTTCAATTCCTTATTCTAGCATAGACCTTCTGGCGTGAGCCTGGGCACATCACTCAGCCTCTCTGCACCCCAGCTGTACGACGGGGTAACAGCACTGCCCTACCACACAGGGGGCTGGGAAGAGCAATATATTGAAGATGACAAGGTGCTCAGAGACCACAGTATTGAGGAGCAGATAAGAGCCTCAAGCCAAGCACCACATTTCTGCCAGACTCACAGAGCAAAACAAGGGCTTGTTTATTTCAGACTAAGGACAAAGTGCTCCAGGGCCAGATCCTCAGCTGGTGTAAATCTGTGCAACTACGCTGGCTTTAAATCAAGCACGTGCGTAAGTGCTTTGTTCAGCTGGGGCATCAGGCCCCTAGAACTGGCTGCTCTGAGAGCCTGCAGGCCATCCCTGCCAAGATGAGTTACTGAACGCCACTGGCACGGCTGCAGTTGTACCTCGTACCAAGTCACTCTAAGTGTTAAGATGTCAGGGTAGATCCTCTCACCTTGATGTCTCCTGGCTGCTTTAGTTTCAGTTCTTCTAATTCCTAGCAGTAAAAGAAAGGAGATTTAGCCTCCCTGCCCATTCTCTTCCTATGCACCCTCCTCATGCTGTTCCCAGGCCTGCCTGCCGGGACTTTCTTCTCCTGGAAGGTGCGTGGTTCATTTTCACATGTCCTCATCTCTTGGCATCCCCCACAGGGATGCACATATTCATCCCCTCCATGCCCTGAGACTGGCCCCCTCCTGGCACATCCCCACAGTGGGGGATCTCTGTATTTCCTTTGTGTAACTATCATCTTCCCAGTGTCTCACTCCTAGTTTCCTGTCGTTGGGCTCTGCAGAACCCCCTGAACCCCATAGTTCAGAGAAGTTCCTTAACCACATGGGAACAGAGTGTGCTCTCCATTAGCCAGTATGAGCTCAGAGCAACTCCACTGTCCGTGGATTCACCCTGGCGTAACAGTAGAATCTGGCCCACAGACTCTTCCCTAGGAGGCACTCATCAGCATGAAGGGACCAAAGAGAAGGTATCACACTCCATGATACCTATCCTGTCCTCTGCAGAGCACTCTGGGATTCCTACCCTCCCCCTCCATCATCTCCTATGTGTCTACACACAACAGCTGTAAAGTACACATCCAGCCTGCACCTCTCTCAGAGTCCAGATCAGCTCCTCCTTTTCCTGCCGGGATGCAGTCTCCCTCTGGAGCTCCTGCTTCAGGCTCTCCACCTCAGACAGGCCCCCTGAGGCCATCAAGCCCTGGGGGCTCTCCATGGCCAACGGCTCTCCTTGAGGACTGGAAATCTGAGAACTGAGATACAAAGCGGACACCGTTCACCATCATTTCAGCAGAGTCCCTGGAAGGACCTTCACTCTGCTCTACAGCATTGTCTAGGGTGTCCTCCAACTCCCCCCGGGGCTGTGATCATCACTTTAAGAGCCCACATGCAGATAAAAGTCTGATCCATGTTCACTTTCCTTCCAGGTCTCCCTTTTCCCATTCCCCTTTTCAAGCTGCAGGATGGCCATGGATAACATACTGCCTGGAGAATGGGGTGGGTAAGGTGGGTAGCACAAAGACAGTCAGACCTGCTGCTGGATATGTGGCATAGTGAGTATGGGTACGTCAGGGCAGCATGCAGGATGGGACTGATGGACTCACAAACCATGCTGTGGTGCTCACCTTCTTGGAGAGGACACAGGACAATCCATCTCTAAGCCAGATGTTGTTGTGGTATTGGAGGCTGCTGGGAACTTGATCTGCTGGAAAATACACACAGAGATGTCACCTAGGCAACAGCAGCTCAGACCTGTTGCTCCCTGGCACACAACTCACACCTTGTCCTCTGCAAAGAGGTGGCTGAATGTGGACTCCCACTGCAGCGGAAACACATCAACATCACCTCCCAGCCAGTGACCTCAAAGCCCCACTGCTCCCCAGTGGGGTTGGTCAGTATCATTAACCCCAGTTTACCAAAAAGGAAACTGAGGCACAAAGAGGTGCCGCAACTTGCCCACGGTCACAGAGCAAGTCAGTGAATGAGCCAAGAACAGAACCCAGGTGTCCTGACTGTTGGGGTTGTGCTTTAGCCACAAGTCCTGGCTTCTTGGCTACTATTGTTAAATATCTGTTAATTCTTCAGATGCGTTCTTAGGGTATCTGCAGCTCACAGCTAGAGCCAGACTGAACAGGGACACTGCAGGGCCCAATTTCTAAGCCAGACGATCACTCCCAGGAAGTGTTTAAAGCCCTGATCTCGCATCAGGATCTGCTACCACAGGCCTGTGCAGTAGGCAGGGGTGGGAAGATCTGCGACTATGGAGTCTATTGCAGGATTGGGGCCTAAATCAGACAGGGTCTGATATACTAGCACGTGTACCATTGCCCTCTCCCAGGAAAGGATGAGTTGGCACGTCTACAACAGTCTGAACAGTGTTATCTCTTTAGCTCAACAGACCGAGGCTTCTGTAGTCACAGCGGTAAGGGCTGAGTTTGAATCCTGTTACCGTCACCTGACTGGTAGCTAAGCAGAAAGTGCAGGCCAAAATTCAAAGCACAGGTGTGCACACACTTTGTGCTGCTCCAATACAAACATTGAACAGAACAGGTGGAAAAGCAACAGTGGTCATGAGATACGAAGGTTCCAGGCCAGTTCAGAGACACAGCTGGATCAGCCCCATGTGGGCTGGATGCTATAAGGGCTGAGGAGCACAATTAAAATGCAGGATATTTAAACGTATAATGAAATCGCTATGGAGTCACTGTGCTGTCACTTGAGAATTACGGAGGTTGCAGAACCAAGCCATAGAAAATAGCTCAATAGGGATCATGGCACAGATGTGGTACAACACCCAGCCCTGCTCTGGAGAAACCTAGAATGGTACCGACCTCACGTGGTGGAGTAGCATTGTCCCAGCGCCTGGACTGCAGCAGCTGCACTTTGCCATTCAGAGCCTGACTGCGGCTCTTTTCCAGCTCCAGCTCCTGCTTACAGGCGTCCAGTTCAATCCGCAGGACAGAAGCGCCATCCAGCTGCCAGAGGGGGAAGAAAGCATGAGGTGTATGAACCTTCCCGATGCCCACCTTCCCGGGACACCAGTGCACGCGGATCACAGCAGCATGGCTGGCCCCTGGATAACGGGCAATTGTTACAACACACCAGGCAGATCTCAAGGCTGGAAAAGACCAGATGGGGGAACTAACCCTTTTGTGTCCACCGCATTCCCCACTGCCAATGTGCTCTGAGGGCTGGGGAGCAGAATTATGATACAGATGTTTACACATACAATTCAATCACTGATTATTTAGGTCATAAGCTCTTTGGGGGCAGGACCATCTCTTGGTTCTGTGTTTGTACAGTGCCTACCCCAATGGGGTCCTGGGCCATGACTGGGGCTCGTTGGCACCCCAATTTAATAATAAATGGAAACACTTTGCTGTAGGTTATGGACTGGCAGACTGTAGAGAAATCCATGCCAAGGCGGAATCTCACTCAAAATACCTTTGGAAAAGAAAAGTCAAGGTGGGGGAGGGATGAACTAAGATGGAGGCCAAGGGGGTTCCGTGCCATTGCAAAAGCACCACCACCCGCTCTTAAGACGTGACAGTGCGATCCCTAAAGGGAAGGTATTGCAGAGAGTACAGGAGCCTGCGTATCCACAAGGATGCCATTCCTGGAGGGGAGGACCTAGTCCACTAAAGGGTCACCTGAAAGTCTCCATCATGCCAGGGTATCATGAGAGTCAGCACTAATAGAGGTGCTCCAGATGGACTGAGGGTAGAAATAACATGTGAATGCATGGCCTAATTGTAATGTATCCCTGTAGTGGAGCCAGATCCCAGCAGGAGATATTTTCCTGGGTTTCTAGGGAGCAGAAAAGATTTCCACCAGGCTCCCAAGACTGTAACTGAAACCATCATGCATCCCTGCCACAAATCGGGCACATGGAGATAGGAACAAAGCCATTCCTACCTTCAGCTTCCTGATCTCGGACTTCATCTCAGCTTTTTCATTCTCCAGCCTCTTTATCCTGTCGCTAACAAGAAACAAATGCAGGGAACCCAGTTATTTTCCAGAGAAACCAGAGATTTCCACAATGGGGCTTGGCTCCCTGGAAGCCAATCTGAGAAAGGTTTGGACGAAGCCAAGAAGTAAACCAATAAATCTCCAGTGTCTTGAACAGGATCTTAGCCCCAGTCTTTTTGGTTTGGCAATGGCAACCCAATGGAATTTTGCTGCTGAATTCAGTGGTTCAGGAGAGCCACACTAGAGCTGGGGGTAGATTGCTACTTGTGTGCCAATTAATAAGAGGCTGTCCTCAACCATGGTCCAGGATCCTTAAAAGAAAGTCTGGTCAACTCTGTGAGCACCAGGATCCAAAGTCAGCAACTCCATGATCAGCAGAGTTGCACAGGGAATGAATTAGGTCTGCAGGAGCCTGGAGAAGAGGCAGATGCCTGCATTGACTAGACAGCCCATCACCCTATACTTCTGGTCTGGTGGGGAGCATTGAGGGACCCAAGATCTCTCACTGTTAGAGTCTTCCTATGGTTTTATACAACCGGGAAGTTCAGGCTTGTAACTGCCTCCAACAGGATGGTGGATGAGCCATTCAATTAACAACAACAGCTGTTCCCTACTGTCTTTCAAGCAAGAAATCTCCCTCTCGTCACTTGCCACTGACTTCCCAGCCAGTCAATCTAGTAGTTCTGTAGCATGACCGGAGAAGCAAGAACTCACTGGGTTTCCTGGATCTCTCTGTAAAGGGCCTCTTGTTCTGAAGTCCTCTCTGAGTCTGATCCCGGTACAGACTGGAAGGAACAAATATAAGACGTTTTTCAAATAACTTGAGGTGTTGGCTTCCCTTATTCCCAATCTGGCACCTTCCCCACCTACCCCACAGCAACTGCCTCCCTTTTGTGTGTTTGGGGGGTGGGTGGCACATGGAGAGCTAGGATCTATCACAGTGAGTCCATAATGTCCTTTGCTTGGTTCCATCTTTGTTATCAACCATTCACATCCTCAGAACCCACCTGCCCCCAGGCTTGGAACTGGCCAGAACAGCAGCTTGTATTTAACCAAAGACGTCTTTCATCCCCTGCAATGGTACTGAGGCTGAACCCTGGCTTGTGGAGCTGCCCTGAGGAGCCATTGACCTGTTTTGCTATGACTGAGTCAGATGTTAAAGAGGGACGCGCTGGGACGCGCCAGGGCTTCAGCCAAAACTCTGCTCCCTCATTCCAGCCTGCTCTGATAACGGCTGTGACTTACGTCCCCAGATCAAGCGGTGAGGTATGACACTGTATGCAGCGTACATCAGGGAGATGAAAATAAAAGGGAGGCAAGGGTTGGTTGGTGTCTCTGCAGCACCGGGGGCACCCAGATGTACCATTGGACACAGTGTTCAGGATGGGGGAGATGAAAGGGAGAGAGGAGCAGAACAACTGGCTATTAGGTGAGGGTCTCCGGGCTGGGCTATGCAGGGGTCAGACTGGATGATCAGAATGATCCCTTCTGGCCTTCGAACCAATGCATCTAGGGAGTTCTCCCCGGAGGAGGGAAAGGGCACATAGATCTCTCTTTGCTTACTGTGTTTGTAGCCAGCTCTTGCTGTAGCTGCAGCAGCTGGGTGGCCTGTTGCTGCTCCCTCAGCTGTCTCATTAAGTCTCCGTTTTCTTCCTTCAGGCTAGGGGATAAAAGGGGTTGTAAATTTACACTGGGATGAGATTTTCAAAATGCCTGATGGGACTCAGGAACACAAATCCCATTGACTTTGTCTGGGATATGCGTTCCTAAGTCACTTAGGGGCTTTGGAAAGTCCCACCAAGAGCACCATGGTTCTCCTCTCGGAGCCCGGCCTCAGCTGGGTTCAGTGGCTTGCAGGGGCCCAAATCTCCATTGTCCTGAGCCTTGGGGAGTCATTCACACCTGTGCAAAGTGAGGGCAAACAAAGGGTCAAACGCTGCCCAATCAGAATGGTGCAGCACACCCACACTGCAGTGCCAGGCAGCGGTGGATCAGCCCCCTGGGAGCAGGGACCCCACTGTCCTCTAATGAATGGAAGATGACAGCATTATGGGCCAATAGCACAGGCAGCCCTGTGTAGAGTGGGGCAGCTGGGCTGGGACCCAGCAAGCTTTGCACTACCTTTCCATCCTCCCCCTCTTTCCCCCAAGTTTGGGTATCTGGGACCCAGGCTGGCACATACACCCATGTCCATTTTCAGCACCTCGGTGCCAAGCTGAGCTCCCAATCCCAGACCTGGGCACCCAAGTCTGAAACTGGACCCTAGGTGTGTACGTGGGGACACAGCGTGCCAGCCTCACCGGAGACTTCCCGGCACCAGCGGCTGTGTCCCTGGGTTGATGCAGCTGTGACTCTGCTAATGCAGAACCAGGGACGCAGGGTGAAGCCTTTGCTAGGCCTTGTCATGTGGGCAGGAGACTCTGCCATTCACCCGGGAGCGGCACAGTCTGCACTAGAGCCTAGGCAGGGAGTGGTTCACCCGGCTATGGCTACCCCAGTTTTGAAGTCCAGGGGAGCAGAATCAAGCGCCAAGTCTGTGCTGGTGCCACATCAAGGAGAGAACTCCACTGGCCAAATGCACCCGCAGTGTCAGGTAAGCGGGCACAACTCCATTTACGCCAGCGAGCTGTGCCTGCTTACATTGCACCTGCATTTGCCCAAAGGAGTCCAGGATTCCTCTGCAATGGATCCAGAGAAAAAGGGTTTCCTAAGGAGTTCTGCCCGCCGTTGTCTGCCTGCCTCTCTCTGTATGTCCGTGGAGCCCAGAGGAAGCCACAGCCTGCAGGCAAGTGGGGAGGGAAGCATGCTCCAGTTCATTTTTAAGGTGGCTCCCCCATGCCAAGGCACCCAGGATGGTGTGTCTGAAAAACACTAGAGGGGACAATGGAAAAATAACCTTCTGATAAGAGAGAGGAAACCACACCACAGGGTGGCCCTAGTTGGAAAGGAAAGGGGATAAATGCAGGGATCAGAGCAGCCAGACAAAAGGACCTATGGAAAAAACAGCTGGGGAGCGAGACCATTCACCCCCTACCTGCACATGGCGCCTCTCAGCTCGGCCAGCTCCTCCACATCCACCTGGAGCAGCTCGCAGTCCTCCAGGAGCTCTGTGTGCTGAAAGGCACATGGGAAGGACAGTTAGGCCTGACTAAATAGTGCTAGGACCCCCTGCCGGAATGGGTACAGGAGAGCCCAGGGACATACCAGGAATCCCCAATGAAGGAGCAAGCCTTGAAATCCACTGCCACAGACACAATGTTAGCACATAACAAGCCTTCAGAACACAGACAAAGGAACCACCCCATCCCCCACCTTCCTGTCAATCTCAGGTATTTCTAGAGCTGGTTGGAAAAAATCAGAAATTTCAGAAACCAGACTAGGTATGTCAAAGGGGCTCCTCGCCTTGGGATCCAGGGGCTGGCCATCTTGCTAGCTACATTCCAGGGCACATCAGGATGAAGCTCAGTACAAAGCTTACATATAATCAATGGATTTTGGTGGTGGGCTGGGTGGGGGTATTGACCATGGGGTTCTGAGCCTCTCACTTCAAAGGTCTTGTCTAGACTAGAAAACTTGCACTGGTTTAGCTAGATCAAATTAAAATCACAGTAGTTAAACTGGTGCAAAGAGTATGTGGATTTATATATAACCCTCCCACCACCCCTATGTGGGAGGTGTCCTTTTCCCTGTTGTACAGATGGGGAAACTGAGGCAGGTGGAAGGGAGGTAACTTGCCCAAAGTCACATGCTGACTTAGTGGGAGACATGGCATTAGAACCAAGGAGCTTGCAGCTCCCAGCTCCTGAACTCAGTGATCCACTAGCTGGGGCGTGGAGGAGAGAATGAGAAAGGAGACTTGAGTGGCTGAGTGCAGAGCTGGGGCGGGGTGGAAAGATGGTACAATCCCAAAGCTGCTAGGTGGGGCAGAGAGACAGCAACTGGCATGGGGCTCGCTGCCATGTCCCACCTTGGCAGACAAGCTCTGACGTGCCACATGTGCTTGCTCCAGTTCCTCCTCTTTGGTTTTTAGGGCCACAGCCGCCTGGTTCCATCTGTCCTTCCAGTGCTGGGAGACCTGCTGCTGCTCTGCAAGCTGGCCACACAACTCCTCCTGCTTGTGCCGCAGGGCAGCCTCCAGCTCCATGCAGCGAGCCTGCAGGGCTTCCTTCTCCGCCTGCAACAGGGACTGCGATGCCCTGCAAAACAGCACGAGTGCTGCAAAGCGCTGGGCCTGGCTAATGCACCCAGTGATGCTGCATGGGCTTCTCCTACCCAGTCTTCCACACAGACCTGCTCCCCTGTCCCACCTCTGCAATCTCCTTGGCCCTCCATATCAGCTCAGCGCAGCTGGTGAGAGAGCCTTCCCCTCTGCAGCTGCCAGGAACAGCCTCCCTCCCTCCCTCTCCCCACCTCCATCACCAAATCCCAGTGGGAAACCTCTCTCACCTCTCCACTGTCCCCTCCCCAGTGACCCAAGGGGTCAATGGAACTCCCCATCCAGCGTCCTTTCTGCCATCTGTACCACATGCTGCCACCTGGAATCATTTTGCTCTGGGCAGCCTATGGGATACAGGCTGTGTGAAAGGCACTAGAAAGCACCCAGCGGCTCTGGGCTGGACTGCAGCAAAGAGAAGCCAGTTCATCGGATTACAGATTATTTAACAGCCAGGATGAGCTGCTGGACTGAAGGACGTCCCATCCTGGCCTCTGACCGTTAATGCTCCCACTGCTGACAGGAGCAGAGAAGCAGCATGAAGAACTCAACTAGGAGATGCATTTTCTTCCCTTGTCTCCTACCTTTCCCGCTCCCAATATTCAGGTACCTGAGCCCTTCGCAGGTCGTTTGAAGAGCTGCCACATCATTCCCCTGGCCTCCAGCATCCCTCTGCATTTCTGACTTCAGCGCCTCCTGTTCACCCAGCAGCTGCGTGCGCTCAGTCTCCAGGGCCTGGATCCTATTGGTCAGGATCTTCTTCTCAGCCTCCAGCTGGTGGAGCTGACCCAGGGAGGTCTCCAGTCTCTGGCGGCTCTGACCCAGTTCAGAGGAAAGCTTCTCATTTACCTGCAGTGGGAACCCATGTGCATAGCTGAGACTTGGCCTAATTCACTGCAGTGACGTCCACGCACAGGACAGCACCAAGTGAAATCTAGAAGCTGTGTATGATGAGATGGCAAGGGTCTTGGTCCATGAGATCCAACTGACACCAAATGACCTACAGAAGTAGACCGATCAGCTCAGCTCAGAGATATGAGGAGGTCAGGCATGTCCCACCCATGAGAAGGCTCTGTTCAAGTTACAAATTCTTAGGGCTGTCAATTAATTGCAGTTAACTCATGCGATTAACTCAAAAAAAATTAATCACGATTCATCGCAGTTTTAATCGCACTGTTAATAGAATACCAATTGAAATTTATAAAATATTTTTGGATGTTTTTCTACATTTTCAAATATATTGATTTAAATTACAACACAGAATACAAAGTGTACAGTGCTCACTTTATATTATTATTTTTATTACAAATATTTTCACTATAAAAATGATAAACAAAAGAAATAGTGTTTTTCAATTCACCTCATACAAGTACCTTAATGCAATCATCTTTTTATTGTGAAAGTGCAACTTACAAATATAGATTTTTTTTTGTTACAGAACTGCACTCAAAAACAAGCAATGTAAAACTTTAGAGCCTACAAGTCCACTCAGTCCTACTTCTTATTCAGCCAATCGCTAAGACAAACAAGTTTGTTTACATTTACAGGAGATAATGCTGCCGGCTTCTTATTTACAATGTCACCTGAAAACGAGAACAGGCGTTCGCATGGCACTTTTGTAGCTGGCATTGCAAGATATTTATGTGCCAGATATGCTAAACCAGGGGTCGGCAACCTTTGGCACGCGGCTCACCAGGGTAAGCACCCTGGCGGGCTGGGCCGGTTTGTTTACCTACTGTCCGCAGGTTCGGCCGATCGCGGCTCCCACTGGCCGCGGTTCACCGTCCCAGGCCTGGTGAGCCGCGTGCCAAAGGTTGCCGCCTGTTCTCGCTTTCAGGTGCTTACCCTGGCGAGCCACGTGCCAAAGGTTGCCGACCCCTGTGCTAAACATTCGTATGCCCTTTCATGCTTCGGCCACCATTCCAGGGGACATGCTTCCAGGCTGATGACACTGTTGAAAAAATAATGCATTAATTAAGTTTTGACTGAACTCCTTGGGGGAGAATAGTATGTCTCCTGCTCTGATTTACCCGCATTCTGCCATGTATTTTGCATTATAGCAGTCTCGGATGATGACCCAGCACATGTTGTTCGTTTTAAGAACACTTTCACTGCATATCTGACAATGTGAGATATCTAAAGATAGCTAGAGCACTTGACCCAAGGTTTAAGAATCTGAAGTGCGTTCCAAAATCTGAGAGGGACGAGCTGTGGAGAATGCTTTCAGAAGCTACACTCTGATGCGGAAACTACAGAACCCAAACCACCAAAAAAAAAAATACAACCATCTGCTGGTGGCATCTGACTCAGATAATGAAAGTGAATATGCGTCGGTCCGCACTGCTTTGGATCGTTATAGAGCAGAACCCGTCATCAGCATGGACACATGCCCTCTGGAATGGTGGTTCAAGATGAAGGGACATATAAATCTTTGGTGCATTTGGCATGTAATTATCTTGTGAAGTCGGCTACACCAGTGCCATGCGAACTCCTGTTCTCACTTTCAGGTGACATTGTAAACAAGAAGTGGGCAGCATTATCTCCTGCAAATTTTAACCAAACTTGTTTGTCTAAGTGACTGGATGAACAAGAAATAGAACTGAGTGGACTTGTAGGCTCTAAAGTTTTACATGTTTTATTTTTGAATGCAGTTATTTTTTTGTACATAATTCTACATTTGTAAGTTGCACTTTCACGACAAAGAGATTGCATTACTGTACTTGTATGAGGTGAATTGAAAAATACTATTTCTTTTGTTTATCACATTTACAGTGCAAATATCTGGAATCAAAAATAATAATATAAAGTGAACACTATACACTTCGTATTCTGTGTTGTAACTGAAATCAATATATTTGAAAATGTAGAAAACATCCAAAAATATTTAAATAAATGGTATTTTATTATTGTTTAACAGTGCGATTAATTGCAATGAATTTTTTAATTGCACCGTTGATCATGATTAATTTTTTTAATTGCACCATTAATCACGATTAATTTTTTTAATCACTTGACAGCCCTACAAATTCTAGATCTTTTCCATCAGCTCAAAATAGAGCCTCTGGGCTTCACCCCAGTTCCTGGAAAGTCTAGCACGAAGCTGCAGTGGATAGATGACAAGAATGTCATGAGGAGTCAAGGAGACAGGAGCTGAAGGCATCTGGCTCCAAGCACCTCACTGCTAGTTCAGCTAGTAGAGGGGACTGTTGGAGAGAAGAAGATCTACAGTCCCCCAGCAGAGGGTGGTGGTGGGCACACACACAAGCCAACACTGTACCTGAGACTAGAGTGGGTGGTGGGGTAGGGCAAGTGGTTAGGAATATGGGAATGGAGGGAGCATCTTGGAAACCCACTTTAGTAAAGCAGATTATTACTGGCTCTTAAGGGGCTGGGGCCCCAGGGCCCTCATTTCACCGAGAAGGGTGGGGTTTGGAAGCAGTGCTCATAGAGCGGGATCGGTGGGTGATGCCTGCAGAGTCCACGCGCGGCTCCCCCACCCAACTCGAAGAGTCACTCAAGGAGTCACCTGTCTGAGGGTCACCAGCTCCTCCTTCATCAGGACCTTCTCCTGGTCCTGGCGGTTGGCCTGGGCCTTGGCATTCACCAGCTCCAGATGGAGGTCTGACACTTGGCTGTTGAATCCCTCTCGGCTCCGCTGCGCATGTTCTAATTGCAGGGTGAGATCCTGCACCTGCTGGTGCAGCTCCACTTTCTCCTGAAAGCCAAGTAGCACAGTCACCTTTCCCAATGGCCCGTCTCCACCCGAGGCTGATCTGGATTCCCCAGCACAGATGAAACTGGTGAAAGTTACTGCCTATACAGACAGAGGGACCACTCGCCATTCCTCCTCTCTCTCTTCTCTGTCCACCCAGGCTGAACTCGTCACCAGGGTATCTAAGTTCCCTCCTCTCCTTTCTCCCACTCCATTCCTCCTCTTGTGTCATTGCCTCTCTTCCCCACCACTCCCCGTCCTCTCTCTCTCATTTGCCTGTGCCCACTCAATACCTTTAGGAACCTCTCCCTGTTGGACAGGGCAGGCTTCAGCTTCATGGTGAGCTCAGATACTCTCTCCTCCAGTCTGGCCACCTTGGAAGACAGCAGCTCCTTCTCCTGCCCAGGAACATTACACATCAGGATGAGAAAAAACAAATCATATTTATAGAGACTGTAACTGATCTGTGAACCCTTCCTGGCATGTGATAGAAAGCCACAAACAACTGGGGCAAATAGCCTGAGCCAAATAGCTAAGGCCTCATTCAGGAAGGAATCTTTTGTCCTCCTTCTAACACTCAACAGTCCAGCCAACTGGATACTTCAGTTCTAGCCAACTATCGCCCAAGTGTCAAACCCCCCATTCCTGCGGAAGCTCATAGAGAAGCTAGCTAAAAGCCAGCTATGAGCACATCAAACTTAACCTAATGTTCTAGACACAGCACAATCTGGATTCAGGCCAGGACACAGAACTGAAACTGCTTTAGTGGCACACTGGCACGGATGGATGATCTCCTCCTGTCAATGGATAGAAGCCAGACATCCATTCTCATTCTCCTGGACCTCTCTGCAGTGTTTGACACTGCTGACTATGAGATGCTGCTGTCTAGCCTGACAGAGTTGGCAGGAGTCCAGGGTAACGCACTAAAGTGGTTTGAGCTCTTCCTGGAGGGATGCACCCAAAGAGTAGTGATGGCAAACTGCATCTCCACCACTAGACCCTTGTGAGCCTCCACAAGGATCAGTTCTCTCCGGTCCTTGTCAATATCTGCATGCAGCCAGTAACTGAATTGGCCCAATTACATGTACTCAAGTGCCAGCAACATGCAGATGACACACAGCTCTACCCACCCTTCACCACATATGATCACACAACCTCCACCAAGATGGCCCAGTGCTTGGATGAGATCATCTCATGGATGAAGAACCGCTGGCTGATGCTGAGCCAAGCAAAGCAAAGGTGATGTTGATGGGCAGAAGAAAGTATTTTGAGGAGTTTGCAGTCATGGAGCAGTCTCCTTTGATTGAAGATTCACGCCCACAGTTGGTCAATTCAGTGCATATTGTAGGAGTACTCTTGGATTCCTTGCTGACGCTGAGCTCTCACATTGCAACTGCCATGAGTAATGCATTCTACCATCTCTGGTAGGCTAGGAGACTCTGCCCCATCCTGGCCTCAGTTACTCATGCCTTCATCACCTCTCAGCTGGCCTACAGCAGTGCAATGTCCCTGGACGTGAAACCGTCAGCACTTAGGAAACTCCAACTAGTACAGAATGCTGCAGCGTATCGCCTCAGCAACTCAGGCTACCATAAGCACATCACACCTGGCACACGCTCTCTTCCCTGGCAATCTGTAGCATTTCAAAGCAAGTTGAAGGTCTCAGTCCTAATCTTCAAAGTGTTCCGTGGCCTGTGCCCAGGGTATCAAAAAGACCTTTTAAAGTTCCTGGCCAAAGACTGCGTTCGCTCCTCCAGCACAGTGGAACTTTCAGTAACATTGGTCAAGCTCAACTGTGCAGGAGACAGAACCTTCTCCTAGGGTGATCCAAGACAGGGGAATGAATTCCCCCAGGAACTAAGGACCATCCCAAACCTCACCGCTTTCCGCTCCAAGTGCAGGGTACATTTCTTTGATCTGCCTTCTCTAATATAAACACAGAGCACAGGTATGTTTAACAAAAGACCCCCAAACAAACAAACAAATAAATAAGAACCCTACCCAAACAAGACTCTCCAATCCACACGCTTCTCCCTCTGGGGAGAGGATGAGTGAATAACCAGCACGTGACAGATGTGTAGTCACATTGCATTACTGGAAGGTGCTCAGATACTACAGTGATGAGCACAGAACAAAAGCCTACACAGAACAGAGCAGAATAGAAAACGCAGCCATCCTGATTGCCAGCCAGACCACAGCACTGCAGCGCAGGAAACCGAAATCTGGGCCTTCTGCTCCACAAGTGCACTCCTGGAGCACTGGATAGTTTAGCCTTTTCTTGGGTCAGCCACAAGAGGGAGAGAGAGCCCACGAATGCTTAAACATGTCTGACTTTCCAGCCAGTAAGGAGCCCCCAGCACATGTGTACACTAGTCACTTCATTGCATGGTACCCCCATCAGACACAGATACGCATCATACCCGTACTCACACACTCAAGTATGCACCAGTACAGGCGTGCACATAGAGAACAGCTTGTCCTTCTTGTTCTCATGGTGCATCAGCCAGTACTACAAGGGGAGACCTTGTTCTACATGCTACCAATGGGAGCTCAATCACAGGCTGCTCGTTATTCAGACCCACACATTTCCTCCATCCCCATACCCGGCTGGTGCTGTTGTAAGCCACTTGGAGTCTGCCAATTTCCTTGTGCAGTGCTGTTGTCGCCTGGAGCGAGTCCGTCACTCTCTGGTTGGCCTCATTGGTCTGGCTGAAAGCCAGCTGTTGCCCCTGGGAAGCAAACGGAACAAGGGAACCCCTGAAGTAGGGATATGGCCTGAATCTACATGCCTGAACTTCTGGGGTAACTGAGCCCCATCTCTCCTCTGGAGAGAAGCTGGAAGACGGGAGGAGCAAATGTCTGGACAGCCAAGTAGGGGTGGGAGCAACTACTTGTACAGCTTCCAGGAACTCTGCAGTGATTGGGTTGGGCAGCTGCTCGAGCAGCAGAGGCGGCTCCAGGCACCAGTGCAGCAAGCGCGTGCCTGGAGCAGCAAGCTGCGGGGGGCGGCGTGCTGGTCGCCGTGAGGGCGGCAGTCAGGCAGCCTTCGGTGGCATGCCTCCGGGAGGTCCGTCGGTCCTGCAGCTTCGGTGGCGGGGCCGAAGGCGCAGGACCGGCAGATCACCTGCAGACAGGGCCAGCTCCAGGCACCAGCCGAGCAAGCTCGTGCTTGGGGCAGCAGATTCTACGGGGCAGCATTCCGCCCAATCCTAGGACGGCACGGCGGTTTTTTGTTTTATTTGTTCGACAATCTGGCCGCCCTGTAGGGGGCGGCGGCGTGGAGGAGGGGAGTGCCCTGCTAGGAGCGGGCTGCGTGCTCCGTCTGCCCCAGCCGGTGCCAGGTCTGTAGCAAGCCTGGCAGGGCAGCCCGCGTCCTTCCCTCCCCGCCGACCGGAGCGGCGCGGAGCCCTCCCAGCAGGTGGCGCGGCGGTCGGGGCTGCGTGGCGAGCGCCCTGCTGAAGCCCTGGCTGCCCCCCTTCTCTCTCTCCACCCGCTACCTTCCCCTCCCCCCCGCTAG